AAAAAAAAAAAAAAAAAAAAAATAGACATGGACATCTTGCTATATTGGCCAGGCTGGTCTTGAATGCCTGGCCTCAAACGATCCTCCCACCTCCACTTCTCAAAGCGCCAGGATTACAAGTGTGAATAATTCTGGCCGTCCCAGGCCAAAATCGGAAACTTTTGAGCACTGACATGCTACTCAAAGACAATGCTCATTGGAGCATTTTGGACTTTGTGTTTTCAGATTAGGGATAAATTCAAAGAACTTAACTGGTAAGTATAATGCAGATATTCCAAAATCTGAAAAAATCCAAAATCCAGAACACTTCTGTTTCCAAGCATTTCAGATAAAGGGATACTTAACCTGTGTATATTTATATATAGATATAATTTCCTAAATAACCCTATCCATTAGCGTTTCCGAATTAGTTTTACCCTGGCTGGGCTGGCTCACTCGGGCAGCTCTAGTAGAAACTGTCTTGCCTCCCTGTGGCCATTTCCACAGTTTCCTGTGGAGGTGCGGGGCCGCGCTGTCCTTTCTCCTCCACTGGGTATCAGGAGCCCGAGCCTTGCCCACGCCTCCACCTCCCTGTGGAGTCCTGTCTCCATGGATAGCTGGCGTGTGCTGCCCATCCCCTCCTGGCCACCTGTGCCCGTGGCTGCTCCGGACAGGGCTCTGCTGGTACATGTTGAGCCACGTGCGCTCAGACAGCAACACGTGCTCCACATCTCCAGAGCAGAAAGGCTGTTAAAAACCACCGAGTGATTACAGCAGAAAATTCTCTGAAGCTCTGGAGTCAAACCCCCTTATTTACTGAAAGAGAACCTGGTATTTCAATCACTTCAGCTCCTGGGTGGCCTTTTCTGCCTGGTTCGGGCAGGGCTAGCCTAGAACTCAGGTCTCAAGTCAGCCCCACTGTCGTCCACCCACCGCACGGAGGCCTTCCCTTGAACAAGATTTCGGTGGCAGAACAACCAGCTGCTGCCCTGTTTCTTTCCAAAACTTAAAATGTGCACAGCAACATGACATCCTAAGCGTGATTCACAACAGAAAAAAAACTTGGACTTCATCCAAATGTAAAATGTTTACTCTCTGAAAGACACTGCTAATAATATGGAAAGACAAGCTGTAGACTTGGAGAAGATATCTGCAAGTCACATACCTGACAAAGAACGCTTGTACCCCGGTTCTATGAAGACTCCTCAAAACTCAAAAATAAGGGGGAAGAAACAGTTAGAAAATAGACAAAAGACACAGAGACACTTGACCAAAGAGGATTTGGGGATGGCAGGTCTGCTTATGAGAAGATCCTCGAAATCTTCAGCCATTAGGTAATGTAAATAGAAGCCCCAGTGAGATGCCACAGAAACCGATACGTGAATGTTTATGGTAGCTCTGTCCGTGACCCCAAACCGGAAGCAACAAAAATGTCCCTCCCAAGGCAAAGGAATACAGACTGTGGTACATCCATATGGTGGAATTCTGCTCAACAGGAAAAAGGGACGGGCTTTCGCTACACGCCGCTATATGGGCGGTTCCTGAAGTATCACCCTGAGTGTCAGAAGCCCATCTCCAAGGGTGGCGCATGGTCCAGTTCCATTTCCGTGACCTTCTGGGAAAGACAGAACGTGGAGTTGGAGAAGAGATGGGCCATCCCCAGGGATTAGAGTTGTGGAGAGGGTGACTGGGAGGGGCTCACGGGAGCACCTGGGGGTGTCTCGATGGTGGTGTGGTTGCAGATCCACCCACGCGTTCTAATCTGCAGCATGCGCACCTGCAGAAGTCATTTTGCTGTTTGACAACTGAAGTCAAAGTAATATGTAATATAGGGGAGGAAAAATGCCACAAGAGTAGGCTCGAGAGTGCCGACTGGGGCTGCACAGGGCTGGCCGCCGCTGTGGGACAGCGGGCCATGGGCCTGGGACGCAGGGGTGCCGGGAAGTGGACACCTGGATTTGGGAGAGGGAGTGGATTTGGGAGAGGAAGTGGACAGCAGGCCATGGGCCTGGGACGCAGGGGGTGCTGGGAAATGGACACCTGGATTTGGGAGAGGGAGTGGATTTCTAGAGCAGTGTGCTCTGTTATTTATTGGGAAGATGCCTTCACAATTATTATTATTAAAATGGGATTGAATGAGGATTGAAAACGAGAAGCAAAAACCCTTCCACATCCACGGTGGGATGTTAATTATTTTCATCAAATGTCCTTTCCCTAAACCGTGACATTAGAGTTTGCAGCCAGTCTTGTCCTTCCCAGAACCGGTGCGTCCCCTCCCACCCCAGCAATGAAGGCCCGTCTCAGCCAGTGTGATCGTGACCGCTGGAGGTTAGGGCAGTGTCCTCGTCTTTCTTCCGTCTTCCCCTCTCCTGTGCCAAGTGATGCTACTAAAGTGGCTCAATGCTAAAGCTTCATTCATTTATTTTTAATGTAAAGAAGCAATTAACTGTTAATGGTAGGCAGTTTTCAAAACACACCCTGATGAGGGACTCGGGGTGTGAGGGCGAGTGTGGTGGGAGGAATATGGGCGTTGGAGTCAGAGCAGCCCCATCTGGCCCTTCTGACCCCTTTTGAGCCATGCTCACTGGGCGCCTCCTTTCTTCTGAGTCTGTCTCTGTCCTGCAGAAGGGACCCCACTCCGGCGCCGAGAGCATCACACGTCCTGACACGGCCTCAGCTCTCAGCCCATGTCTACCTCCCAGCAGTCACTTCTGCCCTCTCAGCACTTCCCAGAGCTGCAGCTTGGATGGCGGCTGCTGCCACTGCACATTGCTGTAGCTCTGTAAGCGCCTCCCACGCCTCCCCATCTGCCGTCAGCCGAGGCACCTACGACTCCCAGGCACCGCTGCCCTGGCCCCACCGCAGTTAGAGAGAGACAGCAAGGTACCAGGGAGGTCGTGCCCTCGAGGCCCATTGTTGAGATGAATTGGCTTAGCAGGCTGTTTTAGCCCATTCTCACACTGCTGTAAAGGTACGACCTGAGACTGGGTATATTAGGGTTCTCTAGAGGGACAGAACTAATAGGAGTTATAAGAGAGTTATATATGGGAGTTAGTATTTTTAAAATAATTTTTATAATATTTCATTTGACCAACACTAACAAAATTAAACAACAAAAATAACAAAACTAAGAAGACATATAAATATTTTTACTTTGTATAGGTTTTCTGTTGCTTCTGTACATATTTTTTATTAGTTCCACCTAGAATGTGAAGAAGAGGAGAGATGTTTTGCTTAATACATACAG